CATAAATTTTTCCTGATTAATCTTGGTGGATTTCGAAGGCCGTTTAGCGAGGAGGAGTTGAGGAACAATGCGCCGCAGGTGGTGACGTGCAACGAATTCCACAGGGAGGTGTCCGTTGCGCAGAATATCGCCGGGAAGCACTTTGATAGAGTTTTTACGTTTGACAAGGTTAGTTTTATTTCCGATGAATATCAGCTCCTCTATGTAGTTTATCGTTACGAATTCAGATTCAATCTTCGTGCTAGGTGTTTTTTTGGTTGTTTATTTGGAGCGATTAATATAGATGCTTGATGTGGAGAGGAAGTTGTCATTCAGCTTAGGAAATGAAAAAGAATTGCTTTATGGGGTTATGCATTCATATTTAAATAAATTCGTTGCTCTAGGGTTCATATTTTTAGTGAATTAAGTGTGTGTCATGCTTTGGGTTTTTTCACTTTCTGTAATTTGATTTTTGTACGAATTAATTTGTAGTTGTTCGTTTTATGCTTATGTTAAGGTGTTTGGACCGAGTGCCCAGCAGAGGGATCTTTATGAACAAGCAGTTATTCCAATAGTCAATGAGGTTTTAGAAGGTTTCAACTGTACGATTTTCGCATATGGGCAAACTGGAACTGGAAAAACATACACCATGGAGGGTGAATGTAAGAGGTCGAAGGTACTACTTTTCGAGAAGATTGTAGTTTTGATTATTTATTTTTATTTTTCTGGGGGCATGTGTGGATTCACAGTGGCCTGTGACTTTGTTTTTTGTTCAAGAGTGGTCCAAATGGAGAACTGCCTTCTGAAGCAGGAGTGATACCTAGAGCAGTAAAGCAAATTTTCGACACATTAGAGGGTCAAAACGCTGAGTACAGTGTCAAGGTCACTTTCTTGGAGTTATATAATGAAGAAATCACAGATTTGTTAGCTCCGGATGATATATCCAAAGTTGTCCAGGAAGATAAACAGAAAAAACAATTGCCGCTTATGGAAGACGGGAAAGGGGGTGTCCTTGTCAGAGGGTTGGAAGAGGAAATTGTTACAAGTGCCAATGAAATTTTCACTCTACTTGAAAGAGGTTCTGCTAAACGCCGAACTGCAGAAACTTTATTAAACAAACAATCAAGGTACTAATCATGTTCCTGCTGTAGATGCCACTTGCCAGGTTTAGTTTTTGTATACTCTGGAAACAAATGTTAAATTTTTTTGGGTATAGCCGTTCGCATTCTCTATTCTCCATCACAATACATATAAAGGAAGCAACACCTGAAGGTGAAGAATTAATAAAGTGCGGCAAGTTGAATTTGGTTGATTTGGCTGGTTCAGAAAACATCTCTCGTTCTGGTGCTAGGGAGGTAAAGGTCTCATTATTTAACATGGTTGCTAAGTGAAGAACTGTTTCTTGTTTTCCACTCGGACATAAACCAGTTGTTAATTTCATCTTCAATGTTATAGGGTAGGGCAAGAGAAGCTGGTGAAATAAACAAAAGTTTGCTTACATTAGGCAGAGTAATAAATGCACTGGTTGAGCATCTTGGCCATATTCCTTATAGGTTTGAATCGTTTCTCATAAATATTACTTTCCATGTATTGCATTTAATTTGCTATATCGGTTGATGATATTTTACATCTGTCCTATCTTACTAACAGGGATAGCAAGCTCACACGTTTGCTTCGAGATTCATTGGGGGGGAGGACAAAGACTTGCATTATTGCTACAGTATCACCAGCTGTTCACTGTCTTGAGGAGACTCTGAGCACATTGGATTATGCTCACAGGGCTAAGAACATAAGGAATAAGCCTGAGGTCTACCGTAAATTTTATTTTGCCTTAATGTGGATGATTTCTTTCATCCTGTTTGTTTGTTCGTCCTCGATGTTTATGTGGCACCGCGTCTCATTAGTAGAGCTAATTAAGTCTGCGAAAACTTTCACGCTTAGTGGCTTATGCTTGTGTTATATGTGATAATGTTATAATGCTTACCTTTCTCACAATCAAATAATTAATTTATGTTGTTTGTTCCACTCGTTCACTTAAAGTTAATTCTGTTCAGTTTTTTTTAATCCCTTTTTCTTGTGAGTTGCTAGAGTGTGGGTGTATGCACATAGTTCAGTTTAAGTGACATCAATATCATTCTTTTGGCCGGAGTTTATGAAATACTAATACTTGAAGTCATTGTTTAAAGGAATTGCATTTGATGCCTAGGTGTTCGCTGGTTCTGATATTATTGCAAAAGTTGCAACGTTGACTAACTTAAGCCTTATCTATTCGTATAACTTGTAGGTGAATCAGAAGATGATGAAATCAACTCTTATTAAGGATCTCTATGGTGAAATAGAACGACTAAAAGCAGGTAAATTTTTATCATTTGTCTGCAGCATCTTTTGAAATATTTGCTTTCTCCATTGATGTTTACTCTGTGGGCATACCCAGAGGTTTATGCTGCCAGGGAGAAAGTTGGTGTTTACATCCCTAAAGAGCGATACCATCAGGAGGAGAGTGAGAGAAAGGTAATACACTTTGGATACTACAGTTTTTTCTATCAAACTTGCTCTTTCTAGTCATTTTGTTGAATTTATTAAAACCTATTAGGTCGTTTTTATTTATTTTTTCTTCTAAAAGTAGTCTGTTAACTTGTTTTTAGATACAACAATGTCAGATCTTTAATAACAAAACTTTTTGACTGTTTTAGGCAATGGCTGATCAGATTGCACAAATGGGAGTGACAATTGAAAATCATCAGAAGGTAGACATAAACAATGGTTACCTCTCTTTTGAATTTTCAGTTCTTCCAGAATATAATTTAGGCAACAGAGGCTGAATTATTGGTGTAAATAGCTCTCTCTAGACTTCCTAAAGTTTGACATATGGCATGCAGCAAATAGAGGAATTGCAAATAAAATATGATTCTAAGGTTCAGCAATGTCTTGAGTTGGGCAAAAAGCTTGATTCAACCCAAGTAAGTTATTTTTTTAAATGTTGTCACATTTATTAAATTTATATGAGCCTTACACAGAGTTGTTTGTAGAGTGATCTGAACTTAACAAGCAAGTTGTTGGCAAACACTGAGGATGACTTGCAGCAATGCCAGTATTCTCTAAGGGAACGCGACTTTATCATTTCTGAACAGAAAAGATCAGGTACGTAATGAAAACTAGCAATTGAAATTACTTCATATGGTATCTAATAGTTCCTGAATAATTTAATAGAAAATGCGCTGGCTCATCAAGCTTGTGTATTACGGGCTGACCTGGAAAAGTCGCAAAAAGATAATGCTTCTCTATTCTTGAAAATAGGTAAGCATTTCACAGACTTCTGTTTTGGACTTTCAGGAAAATATGTGAAGGCACTACTCAGTGCTTTTAATTAATTTTTTTTTTTTTTTTTCCAGCTAGAGAAGACAAACTGAATTCTGATAACAGGTCGACGGTGAACAGTTTTCAATCGGATCTAGCCCAGCAGCTTGCTACCCTTTGTAGCTTGCTGACTGCATCTGTCTCTCGACAAAGCGAACATCTACAGTGTGTCGAGAATCTCTGTAACTCTTTCCTCCAAGTACATGATAAGGTTTTTACCTATTAGTTAGCTGGTCACTACTTGCTCATCTTCTTCAACCTAGTTTCATCTTCCAAAATTTGTGTTTCAGTTTCCACCTAGCTTCAACTTTTGCAACGTGTTAAGAAGTCCTAATTTGTCTGTTGATTTACTTTAGGCTTCTGTAGAGTTAACACAAAAAGTAGATTCTTCGAGGGCATTATATGTCTCCCATTTTGAGGCACTACAAAACGTTGTCTGTATGCACAAAGCTGGTAATAATGCTGCTCTGGAGGAACTGTCAGCTTTGGCGTCTTCTAATTCACAGTGTATTGAAGAAGTATGACAACTTTTTACGTATTGCAATTTCCTTTTTTTAATTACTTTCTTGGTAGGGTAGTCTTACTCTTTCTGTATCTATGTAGTTTTTAGCAGCAGAGGCTGCTGAGGCGAAATCAGTACTTGATGATCTTCAGGATACTCTAACAAGTCAACAAGGGGAAATGGCTCTCTTAGCAAGAGAACTTCGACAGGTTGCATAATTTTTCTGGTTAGGTTGCTTTAGAAATAAGGTTTTCAGACTAATTAAAATCTCATTATTGCTTTCTTGATATAACTAATAGTGAATTTTGCAGAGATTTCATGCTAGTGTAGAGCACCTGATGAACACCTCAGAATTTGTACATGGATTTATTGATAAGCTCGGGGAAGAATCACAAAGACTTCAACATCATGCAACTCAAGTTGATGAAATTCAGACTAAATGCATTGCCGAATTTCAGAAGGCTTATGAGGTTCCACCGTATTTGAATCAAATTATACATAACAAGACGTGATGCCTCTCTCTTTTATCTTACATTTTACGTTTCGTTTTCTGCAGGAACAGTCACGGTCAGAAGCAGAGAAGCTTATTGCTGATATGACATCTCTTGTTACTAACTGCTTGCATCGTCAAAAAGAGATGGTTAGCTTTGTGCCTTTTGAACCCTAGATAACTTTTTGAATTCCTTGTTTCCAGTCGATGACCAACTTTCTACTGACAGGTGGATGCAAGGTTGGAAGATATTAAGTATAGTTCCACTGGGAATAAGATGTTTTTGGATGAACATGTTTCAACTATTAATGCCATCACAACAGACTTAAAAAGAAAATGGCAGGATAGCTTTACGCAGGCAGAGAGTAGTTTTAAAGATAATGCTGATTTCTCTGCAGCTAAGCATTGTCGTATGGAAATGCTTGTACAGAAATGGTACGAATACACCAGCCACCATGTTTACTCCCGTCTCATCTCTTTTAGCCTAATTATATATTTTATCCTCCGTCTTGTTTTCCTGCCCCACCACCTTCTCCTGTTGATCATCAAACTCCATTTTTGGGCCGGGCATCTAAACACCATATTATCTGGTCTTTGTCCCTTTATCTTCAGCGTGAAAAGTGCTGACACGGCTTTGGTCCAGTGGCAAAAAATGCAAGAATCGTTAAATAGCATGCAAAGTAAAAATGCTTCAACCATCAATTCACATGTCAGGTGTGTTCTTCTAACTGTTTTCATCCATATGTATGCTAAAAAAGAGACGAGTAGAAGTAATCAAAAGCATTGTGCTTTCTTGGTGAAAATTTGATCCTTAATTTCACCCGATTTTTAAATTTGAACCAGTTTTTGATGGTTTTGTCTTATAAAGAATTTTCTGATTGACATGCTATTTATATACTTGTATGCCTTGTTCAGGAATATGTGGTACATCAATGAACAACACAATGCTGAGATCGATTCTGCTAGAGCTATTGTTGAGGAGGATGTGAAAGCGAACAGTGAAGATATGGATAACTGGTTTAAGAGTTAGTTTTCCACTTTACTTGATTTTAACACTTTTACAAGTGATGAAGTTTAAATGTGTATCTTCCCTTATCCTCATTTTAGCTTCGAATAGTAAACTTGGATGTTTAATTTTCTAGACTTCACAGTGTATCTTGATAGGATGTATATATTTATCCAACTTTATGTTTCTTTATCTCAGGCGTGTCAGGGCAAGAGAAGTCATCCGTTTCCAAAATATTGTCGACCTCTAAAACTCATTCTGAAACTCTTCAGAATCTTACCACAGATCATTCCCAGCAATTAGCCAGAATTGAACAGCATGCTGTTGATACTTTCAGGCAAAAATATATGGTATGTTTATCCATCACTTCATGAATAGCTTAAAAATATTTCCAAAGTATATATATGATATAATAATGTGAAAGTTTTTGTTTCCTGCTCATAAAGGATTTTCGTTTATGATATCCTCGTTTTTGTTTTCGTTTCTGAATGTCAGGATTACGAGCCTATCGGCACAACACCCGTTAAATGTGAGCCCGATATTCCCAGCAAGGCCACAATCGAGTCACTACGTGCAATGCCTATGGAGGCTCTTCAAGAAGAATTTCGAGAAAACAATATGTACGAGTCATTTCATGTGAAGGAATCAAAACCGACCCTTATTCCTCGTGCCCCACTTTCACAGATCAACTAGTGGCTGCAACTTCTCCTGTTTTCTGCTTGAAAAGCGTCGTCTGATTCTTTTTATTTGTACTTGATGTGTATATTTTTTTAAGTGATGTGATACTAGAAAAATTGGTTCCAGAAGTTCATATGATATGACTTCAAGGGTTTGGATGCATTATGTTGTAGGGTCATCAATTAATCCCTTCTTTTGTTTTGGTTTATTGTAACTTACAAAGCTTTCTGGTCCGAACTTTTGCTGAGCTTTATTATTTAAAAGAAGGGCGGGGAATAACAAAATCTTGAAAATTCAGTGTTGTTGATCTTTTCTTTTGTAATTATTCAGCATTTATGGTTCTACATGTTTAATGGAAAAAAGGGAGACTAATTGAGCTAGAGGTGTATATTTGGTTTAGGGAAGAAAATTCAATCTCAGCATCTTGTTTATTTGAATAGGTCGATGATACTGCAAACCTAATACTGACGTTTCATTAACATTTCTTGTATCATAGATTTCAGAGTTTGGCTGAAACGGTTAATGCATGTAGCTGTTAATGAACAGTTATACAAATGCATGTAGCTGTTAATGAACAGTTATACAAACCCAGGTCATTTCCAAGGAACCAAAGTTGAAGCTCCTTTATCTGCTTGATTAGTTATTGAGTCAAGCTCAACGTAATAAAAAACTCAAGCCCAAACTCATTAAGAGATCTAGCCTCAGCTTGTTTATACACTGCTGAGCTTTGACCTTCGTTCTTTGTTCTTTCATTAATAGAACGTTTGGAAATATCAAATGCTAGCAATCACTTAAAGATTCATAAAGATTCATATAACGTAGAGAGAATACTATTGCTTTAAACTTGTTCCAGCAAAACCACGCTCTCATAACAGGACAACCATCAAGGTCAAGTATAATCTCCAACACCAACACAATTTCAGTTTAAACTACAAATTGTTCGGTAAGCATTAAACGGGAATAACAAAATCCGCAACTTAAAAGAAGACTGGGCCCAAACAACCACCACTGAACGAATATATTGGCAAAGAAGGTCAATTTACAGCCTCCTTCCCCTTCTACCACCCTTTCTACGGGTGCTGTCGGTTGGAATTGGAGTCACATCCTCTGTAAAGAACGGTGAA